CCTCTTTCATGAGCTACCAGCAGGCAGTCGTCATCTTCTTCTTCCTCCAGATCCCGAAGGCGTTGGGCCGTTTTTGGAGATAAGGCTGCCGTATCGGCCTTGGACCTTCGAGCCACGCTCTTCTTAGGCCTCGGGAGATTTACAGATGACTCTCTTTTTCTTTTTCTTTCTTTAGAAGACTTCGAAATCTCCTCTTCATCGGCCGGGGCCGGCCACATAGCAACAGCGTCTCCAAGACCTGCACGAAACCGAAATAAGTATCCCATGGGAGAAGTACAAAAAAACAAACAAGAGAGCTCACCATGGTTTTTGGCCTCCCATCGACCCTTGGCCAAATCTCGCCAGCAATGATCCGAATAAGAGGAAGTGTAAGCCAGCTTTCATACCTAGCCATCGCGGTCCGGGACCCCACCAGGAAAGCAAGCAGTGGCTGCGCCATCAGATAGGGGTTAGACTAAGGAAAAGGGTAAAGCTGAGAAAGAGAAGAGAGAAGGGTATAAACCTGCCATATACTTAGGTTTTATGTTCCACTCCTCGGGGAACGGTATCCAATCAGCCGGAATCAGGTCGGAGGTCCTGACTCGAACAAACTGGTTATCCACCCTCGGTCTTTGTCCTCGTCGATACTACAGAAGAGAGATTTAAAGGATCGGCGTTGCAATTTTATCAAGTACCACCTCGATAAAGTCGGGGGATGTATAGTCTGATCAAATGGTTGAGGGTGAATGACATCCCCTCGACTTGGCTCAAAAAGAATCCGATCAAGTAAACGATTTACCAAAATGAAGGGTAGATCTGGCCAAGCGTCACGCGATATCGTTGGCAAAAGTCAAGAATAACTAGATCTATGGGACCCTGAGTCGGAATTGCAGGACCCATCGTGAATAGGTACGTGTATACGCTCAAGTACCCCGCTTTATATGTGGTGATGTCCTCCTCGGAGGAAGGAATCACTACTTCTTTGTTCTCCCACTTGTAGTCTTCCTTTGCTTGCGCAAGCTCGTCCGTGGTTATCAAGCAAACATATCGAGACATGGGCTCGCATCGGCCTGGTGTCGAAACAGGTTTCTCGATTTTGAAATCGGACGTTATTTCACATGGCGGAGGGATTCACTCCTCAATACGAGGGGGCACTACCGGTTTGCTCTTGGTCGGTTGGGAAGATGAAAAAGCTTTTTCTTTCTGGGGAACCGGTTTAGAGGTTTTAGCCATCACGACATGGAAATTCAAAGAAAATGGAAAGTGTTGATAGGGAGATAGAAGAGAAGGAGGAATTCAGAGAAATTGAAAGAGCTAATAAAACTTTGAGTACAATATGAGAATAAAGTTTGCAAGGTTATGAAGTTTGTCCATTAATAGAGGTCACTTAACTGAACTTTGGAAGCCAAAAGGCCGACCGTCAGCCGCCTCCAATCAATGACTTCGGAAACCGCACGAAAAGCAACCTTTTCAGTCATTTCAATCGCTGACGTCACGAGATTGGCATCAGAATCGAGGCATCGAAGAGCAATCCGTTTTTTATCAATCTATTTCGAGTTCGAACAAAGTGTTCACTCAATTACTAAGCCCAAGGGCTACCCGAGTTTGAGAAATTTCGCACTCGGGGACTATAAAAAAAAACCTAAGGGCTAACTTTGTTTCAGGATTCGAGCAAGTACTCACTTGACTACCAAGCCCAAGGGCTACCCAAGTTCGAAGGAAGTTCTCACTCCATGATCGTCTACGGAGCCTAAGGGCTAACTTTGTTTCGAATTCGAGACCCTGCTCTCACTTAACTCGGACTCAGGAATCCCGATGTTCCGAGTTCGCATCGAATCGATTTAAGCTCAGCTCGAGGATTAACGAGGGCCTTAAGGGATATTATGTTGGTTGAATAAAAACCTAAGGGTTTATTATGTCCTGAGTCCGGTTTTTGGACTAGTCGTTAAAATTAAACAATCACATTTTTCACAAGTAAAGACAGAACGGAATTCAACATGAGTCAAAAGGAAGACAAAGGTATCCTTTTATATTTTCGAGACACGGTTACAAAATATAACTACAACACCCACGAAGGGTACTTACACAGAAACAAAGAAGCAAAAACAAAAGCCAAAAACCTAATCTACTTTTAAGGCCACGTTCTCGAGAACATCCTCTTCGAGAGCCTCCTTTCCGGGGACCCGTTTTGACCGTTGGGAATATCTTTGTACCCGAAGAGATTCGAGGCGGAAAGTCTTTGATAAATGTAACTATATTTCCAGCAGCGAAGATTAAACGTTCTGTTGAAATTTTGGGCCGTAATCCGTTAAAAAAGAGCAGCAAAAAAAAAAGACCAGAAGGGAAGACCAGAAGATGTAGCTTTGCCTTCTATCACAAGAAAAATCAAAAGGGTTGCAAGGTGCACGAGCAACGATCCAAGAATGTTATCCTTGGGACATTGTTCCGGGGTGGAATGTAAAAGTTAGTAGACGATAGTGCCACCTCATTCCATGGAGAGCAAAAGGAATGAAGTGCTACACCAGATTGAAGTTAAGGGAAATGAGCAGCAGTGTAAAGTTTGCATATTTTCTGATGTGAGAAGGATTCGGCGCCCTTCTAATTCAAATCAAAACTTTGAAAAAGAAAACCTTGGCATAACTGATAAAGTTGCTGCCATATGAACATGTGTTCGCAGGTTCGAACCATGGAAATAGACGATTAAAGAAGGAAGAAAAGAAGGGAGAATACCAAAAAAAGATAAAGATGAAAAAAGCACGGTTCTTTGTTCAACAGGATAGCCTCCTATTTATAGAAAGGCGGGATGGATCGGCAGCGCAAATGGCCAACCAACACTGACACGCATTTGATGTTTTGGGGAAAAGCGCCGATGTGACATTCCCAGTCATTCCAAGCACCTACGTCACGAGCATGTCATCATCATGAGAAGTTCGGGGAAGTCGAGGTGCAAATCGTTTCTTATCATCTTATTCTATGAAACGCGGGGACTATCTGTATACGGTCAAAGTCACATGCCCCCGGTGTAGAAGCTTGAGGTTTCACCCTAGGTCCGAGTGCGGGAGAGGTCAAGTTCGAAACCGTTGGACCAGGCTCGAGCTCGAAGATAGAGCGTAATACTCGTGGGCAGGAGTTCGAGGAACATCGAGGCCAAGTATGCTCGACCTCGAAATAGGACCGTTATGGATTTGTACCAGAGCGAGCTAGATTCTTGCCACGTCCTGAGATCATAGCGCAAATTCCGGAATAAGATTGTACAATTCCGTACTAGGCGGTCAGACAGCTGTAACAAGAATATTCCCTACTGTAAATAGAAATATTCCTTATTTAGGGTTCCCCTATTATATAAAGGGGATCCCAATCATTTGTAAGATCATCTTTTACTGAGCAAAGAATATACTCTCTACTTTTTGCCTGCTGTTCATTAAAATTGTCCCTTAGCATAATTATTCTTACTTCGATTTTCCTATTTAATTGTTCTTACTGCCCTAAGCCACCTCGAGGTCACCATTTCGAGGTCACTGCTGCTAAGTAACATTGGCTTGATTTACTTCTATCTTTCATTTCTACTTCATATTTCTTGATTCTTAATTGGTATTGAACTAAATCACATATCTTTAAAACCCCAAATCAACTTTAACTGTTACTCCTATTTTTCGAGATAAACATTGACCAAGAAAAATTTGATGAGATCTGCAATTAGTTTAATATTGATACACCAAATTTTGGGTACTCTAGCTTTTTTAATTACCCAGCAAACGCTTTTAATTTTAAAAAGATAGAAATCTTTATCTGCAATTTTTGGGGTAAATTTTACAAATATCATATAACTATATTTTTCTCATACAAAACTTATAAATTTTTACTAACTCACACGAAAATCATAGTAACCGAAAAATACAACTTATGGTAGTATTTTCTTATTTCACGTCTTTTTATTTTTTATTTTAAGTCTAAAAATAATAATTCAATTAAAATAGGACCGACCCGATTCGACCGACCCAATACTCATATATATACATTAAAATAATATTAAAAGTGAATCCTCCAAAACATGATACTTCTATCTTTTATTTTCTTTGTAATTTTTTAATTCAAATTGATAGCATTATTGTTTTAGGAGCTCTCTAATGATCCATACCTTTTTTTTTGGCTCATAATCTCATGCATTCTAAAGTAACTTTTTTTTGGGGAAGGATTTACGTTTAGTTTTATTATAATTTATATATATGTGTATTGGGTTGTTCAAGGTTGGGTCATTCTTATTTTAAAAATAAAAATAAAATTGAGTGGTGGGTAGAAATTTATTATATTCGCTAGACAAAATAAATAAATAAATAAAATTTATTTATCGGTTATTATTTTTTGGGAGAGGCTAAAAATATATATATTCTCCTATTTTAGTTGAGTTATTATTTATTAGACTGAAAATAAAAATAAAAAATAAGAAAATACTACCAAAAAGTTGTGTTTTCTGCTAACTATGATTTTTGGGTGAGTTACTGAATGTTTTATGATTTTTGTGTGAGAAAATATAGTTATATGACTTTGGTGAAAAAAGTCATAGTTTTATGACTATTTGTGAAATTTATCCCTATTCTCACTATTATCATTTTCTTATAATTTATTTAACAAGAATATTATATTTTTATATTTGAAACAATTTTGACTTAAACTCTCCTTTAATCTAAATAACATTCTTTTATAATCATAAAAATCTACAAAAGTCTTGTGATATGCTTAAGACTATATTTCTTTTATTTTGTTTGATTTTGTTTCCAATAAAACATCACCACACAAAATGAAAGGAGAGGAAATATATATATTTTTTTCAGTAGGGAACATTTATTTTAAGTTTTAGAATATTTTGTTTTCATATATATTCTAGACAAATAGTAGTAAGGAAACAAGCAAGAGAGGAGTGATGACGGCAAACTTCTTGTGAAGACCATACAGTAGCACGTGAAGCTATAGCAATATATCTTGTGCAGCAGCCTATGTGGATACAAGTATTAGATCCTACATCAACGTCTCTTCACTCGCAATCTGTGCGGCCATTTTATTGCCACCATTTACTATCGTTTCCCCCTAACCATAGCTGCCATCGCAACCAAAATATAGGAGACAATCTCAACACCGTCTCTACCAAGAAATATAGAGCAACAAATATTATCATAATATACAAATAATTTTCATGCCACAATTCCAGTCGACGTATGCATGCCTGATCAGCTGCTAGCTGTCTAGCTAGTACGCTACACCGCCATTACTAGCTAGCTACTGACGATTTCTCATGGCTACTGCCTACTTGAAAAGTCAGCGTTTCATCTCTTCGGTAAGAATTTTTGTCAGTTCCAAGCATCCCAGTTATCCAGAAATAACTTTCATCCAACCAAAAATAGGAACTTAAAAATGAAGTTTTACCCACTAAACAATCACTTTTTTAGTATTAATTACTACCCCTCCGTTCCAATTTATGTGAACCTGGTTATAAATGCTTCTCATTAAGGGTAGAGTTGGAAGTTTAAGCTAAATTGTTTCCAAATTTAGAGAGGGGTCATCATTCTTTTTGTAATGCACCAAAAAAGAAATAGGTTCATATAAACTGGAATAGAGGAAGTACTATATATATATATATATATATATATATATATATATATATATATATATATATGCGGCTCAATCTAATATGTGGCCTAAAGCCAAAATTTAAAAGAGGCCTTAAAATTTTTTAGTAATCTTTTTATATAATTTATTTGATATTTGTTCTTATAGCTTCCTAAAATGTAAGAAAGTTAATTTTAAATTTTGATAATAAATTATTTTCACTTAATAATATGGTTAGTACGTGTAATTTTCACGAGACATTTTTTATTGATTTTAGTTTACAAGCTTTTTTCATTTGAGGAACTGTTAGAGAAAATATTAAAAGTATTCTATAAGCAATAGAAACATTTAAAAAAATATAATTAAGACTTCAATGCAAATTAGAGTATCATCTTTTACTTGTATTACTTTTAATTTCAAAAATTGATAAAATCATCACTTTCATAGATCATTATGCTTTAAAAGATATTAAAGGTTAATAACTTATTTGACCAAGCTTTTTCAAGGGCAAAAATATTTTCCCCCCAGAAAAGTATGTTTTTAAGAAGTTGAGTTGTTTGATCAAGCTTTTAGGAGGAATCAGGCTACACAACATATTTTCCAATCTAATCGTTTAATTCTCTAGTTAGTTTGAACTTGAAAATATTTAAAACGATATTCAAAGAATTTTAAAAAAAATTTCTTACAATACCGAAGTTATAAACAAGAATGATTCAAGTTCAAATACATTAGACAAAATTAAGATAGGAAGTAGCTATAAATTTAATTGCCTACTATTTTCGACCGTAATTACATTATATATTTTAATTTAGTACATAGTATAAATTTTGAATATGGACATAGTGGAGGATAAAAATTGACGACATGTGACTGTAAAAAATTATTTTTTCACTAAAAATAAATATATGGAGTAATTATTTATATTATATATATAATTAATTTTGGGGCCTAAAGCCACTAAAGCAGTGGCTTAAGGGTTGAGCCGCCCCTATATATATATATATATGGTTGGACCACTAGAATCCATATCTTGCACATAAGTCTACTCTCTCTTGATATATTCTAGGCAGTAATTATAGACAGAGTGCCTTAGAATGATTCCAACTGCTACACAACTAGAATCCAATAACGATTTAATTGAATCTTTCGAAACCTTCTTTCAGGGCTGGTTGATTCAACAAGAGTTCTTCTTACAACAATTGCTTCGCTTAACCTGTGAAAGCAATGACAATTGCATTAATGAAGAAAGGCTCATCATAGACCAAGTGTTGGCCCATTACTGTGCATATTACGTAGCCAAATCAAAAGTTACACAGGAGAACGTTTTCCTAGTGTTATCCCCTACTTGGTTCACACCCTTGGAGCGAACGTATCTGTGGATAGCAGGGTTTCGACCAGGACTAGCATTTAGACTGGTGAACAAGAATGTCTTGGACTTGTCGCGGAATCAGTCTCTGATGCTGAATGAGTTATTGGAGGAGATTAAGGTCGAGGAGAAACAACTTACTGATGAATTCACCAGGGTTCAACAAACCATGGTACTTCTTGTTAAAATAAATTTTCTGCTCATCCACCATATTGTGTGTCTTTTTCCTTAGTAAGAAACACATTTAATAGACTTTAATGTCAGGGGCGTATTTATTGTTCAAATTAGGGTGTACGTGAACCCATAAATTTTCTGTTGAACTAGGTATTTTATGTACATATATTTCCTAGAACTAATCTAATACTATTATATACCGGCCCTGTGCTCCAATAAGGCTTGGTTGAATGGTGAGTTATTTTACTCAAAGAAACATGGATTTATTTCTACTCAATACTTTATTCTTCCTCTTTTCTTTAGTGATGTGCCCATGTTATCGAAATCCTAGATCAGTGTTTGTTTTAATGTTGCTCAAATTACTAAAGGTACCCCCTTCGTTCACTTTTAGTTGTCCACTTTGGACTTTCCACACCCCTTAAGAAACAATAAATGAAATATGTATTTTACAATATATTTTACCCATAATAATGATAGCATTTTCAAAAATTTTGAGGAATGATATGGGGATGAGTAATTAATGATAAGGGTAAAATGAAAAAAAAGATTGTCTTTCTCTTGATTTAATATAGTGAATAAGTAAAAGTAAAAAAATATATTTGTAGTATAGTGGATAAGTAAAACTGAACGGAGAGAGTAAAATAAAAAGTTTAAAATTAGACTATTTCTAATTATAACATGTCATTCTTTTTGAATCATAGTAAAAAGAAAGCAATGTCACCTGAAATGAACTAACTTTTTGATAGGTGAAAAATGGCTCTTGTTTAGTGCCCGTGAATAATTTCTTTAACTGCAGGCATTAGAAACAATGATTTTGCTACTGAGGGAGGAGGGGCTACTGGAGAACGGGAGGTTGACAGAACCAAATAGGGCAATTGATAGGTTGAGGTTGGCAATGGAGACACTAGTTGAATGTGCAGATTATCTGAGGGGGAAGACTGTATTGAGGATTGTGGATATCCTAAGTGCAACTCAAACCGTGAGATTCTTGGCTGCTGCTACCCAGCTTCATCTCAGGATTCGAAGTTTGGCCCTGCAAAGTGAAGCTAATTAGCATCGTATGTAATCCTTGTTTATGAGCTGATAACATGCTATTAAATAATTGTGCGTTATTCGTGTTTTGTTGTAAGATTAAACTACAAGAAAAAAAAATACTACCAAAAAGAGTTGGTGGCGTCCAGTATTGTTGGAAGTTTACTAGTAATTAATGAGGAAATTATTGTTAACCAAAATTGGCCATTTAGTTTTGACTTGTGCGGATTTGTCTCACTCTGTAGGATTACACTTGATATGTATAACTTAACAATATGTACTTGAAAAAGTTGAGAAATGTCATGTGCCCAAAAAAGATAAAAGTTTTGTGTCAGAAGATAAGATCAATAATTCTGAAAAATGACAAATAAAGACGAATTTCTTTATTAAGAACGAACGATGAAGTCCAGTGAAGTACGCAAGATGGTTCAATTATATATATATATATATATATATATATATATATATATATATATATGATGAAATCTATACTAATTGAGAAGGAATTCACACATGCAATAGAATTGGTAGAAGAAGAAGAAGGGAGATACAGAGGTCGGTTGAAGAAGAGCAAAAATTAGTCCCTTAAGTAACTACTTTGTGCATTTCTAGCTCACATAACAATACTCCCTTTCAAGCTGGGGGTTGAAACACATTCAGTACCCCAAGCTTGGACAAGAGAAAATGATGCTGAGAAGACCCTAATCCTTTAGTCATAAGATCAGCTAACTGCAAATTGGTGGAAATGTATTGTGGTGCCAACTGCCCGTTCTTGAACATTTCTCTTACAAAGTGACAATCTATCTCAATATGCTTAGTTCGTTCGTGGAATATAGGATTAGCAGCTATCTGTAGAGCTGATTTACTATCACAATGCAATGACACTGGCTGTTGAACCTGGACCTGTAGTTCCTTAAGCAATCCTAGGAACCATGTGATTTCTGCAGCTGCTGCTGCTAAACTCCTGTACTCAGCTTCTGCAGAGCTTCGACTGACAGTCTGTTGCTTCTTGGACTTCCATGAGAGCAAAGAATTCCCCAATTTGATGACATACCCTGTCACAGATCTCCTAGTATTAGGACATGAAGCCCAATCTGAATCACAACAAGCAGACAATGTATTAATAGGTCCTGCTTCAAGCAGAATTCCAAGGCCTGGTGCTCCCTTTACATATCTTACTACTCTCAGTGCTGCATCCCAATGAGATTGCTTTGGTTGCTGCATAAACTGACTGAGAACCTGTACAGCAAAACTTAAGTCTAGTCTGGTAATAGTCAGGTAAAGTAGTTTACCAATCAACTTTTGGTAACTCCCTATGTCCTCAAGTTCTGCATCTCCATTTACCCCTACATGCTTGTCATACTCAATAGTCGTCAGCTTATGATTGAGCTCTATTGGAGTAGAGATGGACTTAGCTCCTGCAAGTCCAACTTCTGATATCAACTGGAGAGCATATTTTCTTTGTGTAAGTAAGATCCCTTCTTTGATCTCAAAACTTCAATGCCAAGAAAGTACCTTAACTCCCCTAGGTCCTTAACCTTAAAAGAGTTCTGTAATGTCTGCTTGGCTTCCTTTATAAGCTCTGCACTACTTCCAGTAATGAGTAAGTCATCCACATATACTAAGATAACAACAATGTCTGATGGTGTGTTCTTAGTGAAGAGTGAATGATCAGAAGCACTCTGATGGTATCCTGCCTTCACCAAAGCTTCAGTCAACTTGATATTCCATTGTCTTGAAGCCTGCTTAAGACCATATAGTTGTCGCGCCCCCTTTTTCTCGCGAAATAGGGTTTATGACATTTGGAAGGACAACTCGTTCCCTTTTGAGAATTGGGTTTAATGTAATTGAAGAGCCGCCACCTAATGATTTAAGTGCATTAGGACACTTTAGAAGAGCTTGATTTTGGATAACCAGAGATAGGGTAAGGGCTTGAAATTATTCCAAGGGGAAGGTGTTCGGAACTCCTCAGAATCCACTAGTGTGGTTCCCGGCCAAGCTATTATTGTGAGTTAAGGTGCAAATAACACATAAACAAGTAGGACTTCAAATAAGAGGGTATTTTTCACATAAAGGTTAGAAATAAACAAAGTCGGAAAGTATTAAAGAGAGTTGTTTTTCTTAAAAGAAACGTTTTAAAAGTTTTGAAAGAAACAAAGAACAAGGGGAAGGGGGCCCTAGGTTTATTAATAATATGGATCACTCTACACAACATCCGGTAATCACTCTTACGCGTGATGTTATCGCGTGGTCATCATATCCATATCTACCCTTTCCCACCCCTTTAAGGTACTAAAGCACGGAATGGTCTCGTTTACTTATTGCATGCTATTACCCGCCCCGATCCTATCAGCCCCGGAGGTGCTTGGGACTACAAATCCTAAAAGAGGGAGGAGAGGTTGGGCTTATTTGTGGTTCCAAAGGTAAAAATACTAAGGCGACAAGCGAAAACACATATAACAAGTATGGGGAAGCATGTAAACAAACGAAAGGCTCAAACAGACCTCCTTTAAGCAAAGAAAAGCACATAGTTTAGCATGTCTTACACGTACTATTTAAGGTCTAATTAAACTTAAAGATTTGAGGCAGACTGATTTATTACATAGTTCAGATAAGAAGCCCGAATCAGGCCTGCCTGCTGGTTGTAGCTAATAACACCTGATTCAGTTTATAAGTTTATCCTACGGCTTGCCTAAGTGTGGGTCAAAAGCTCCTATAGGCATGATATCTACTGATTTCAGAAAAGAATGAAGTAGATTGAATACATACTGATTAAGAGGGGTTACCGGATTATTGAAGAAAAGCAAACTTTAGCAAAAGTTACAGGTTCTGCAAGTATTATTACTGGTTTTAGACTCATAAGCGAGTGGGAACGTTTCAGACTTGGTTGATAGTTCCTATAGGCATGCTTTGTACGCGTTGTTGATTTTAAACACTTTTATAGATATGGAAAGAAAAAATGCAAAAAACCTATAACGTGATATCTAGGTGCTGGGTTTTATATGAACATGACATCTGATTGCGTTTTGGATATTCAGACCTATAAACATGTTTGCCTAATGAGAAGTGGATATGCAAGAATCAGGAAAGACCTATAGGCATATTTTCTACATGCACGTGCATCCTATAGACATGGCATCTATATGTGAACATGCTGAAATTAGAAGTCCTATAGACATGGTATCTATATGAGAATGCTGAAATTAGAAATCCTATAGACATGGTATCTATATGTGAACATGCTGAAACTAGAAATCTTATAGGCAGGTTATCTACCCATTTTGCATACATGGTTACCCCTCCCTTTTCACTAGCCATCCCCAAGAGTTTTATTACAAAGTTATTACAGCCCAGAATGAAATAAAGAAAAGAAAAATACATCAGAAATTAAAAGTACAACCAAGGAGAGCCTAATTCAGACTCCATGTCTAAAATATGAGATGAACCAACTCCAAGAGATCGGATTTCAAAGCCTTTCTCCCATTTGGGGGTGTGTCAAAGTTCCCTTAGAGTCTCACATGAACTCCGGGCAGTGCTTACACCCCAAATACATTACCAGATTAAGACATAGTGCAGTGTGGAAAAGCCAGCCCTCAAATGTCCAAGTTCAGAGGGAACTCAAGGTCCCAAGGCAAGACTCACAGGAGGGGGGCAGAACTTAGGAACTAAGAGAGAGTGTAAGTGCAAGATTCTGAAAGGGGAAAGGGAAAGGGAGATAGTTCACATTAATACACATAGGGGTATAGGGAATGGGGAATTTGCAAGAGGTAAAAAGCAGGTTAGTGGGCATTAACCAACAATAGGAGATGCTGGCACACCCATAAGCCTACTAGAACACATTGTTTAGAGGTCAGGATCCCCTAAGGGATCAAGTTTAATCCATAGACAATAACTTGCATATTGCCATGTTTTAAACTGTAACTCAAAGCACATAAAGGGAATAGGGAAGAGGGGTTCATAACAGAAACAAGCAAAAGAAATCAACATGCTAGTTTAAGTATTTAAATCTGCAGAAGTAGTAAAGTAGACATGGATACCAAAAGGCTGTAAGTAAACACATTGTGGTGATGCTGAAACTAAAATTAGGACATACCGGNTGATTAAACCGATTGATCCCTTGGGGTCCCAATCATCCTCTATCTCGATCATGTGAACACCTCCGCCCTTATGGTCTGGTAGAAGGTTATTGCGGACATTCGGAGCAGGCTCCTTTGCTATAATGATCTTGTTATCAATCAAAGTCTGGATCTTATCCTTCAGAGAGCGGCATTCATCAATGGTATGTCCTTTCATGCCGGAATGGTATGCACATGATTTATTTAGATTGACCCACTGAGAAGGGTTTTCGGGTGTTATAGCAGGGATAGGGGTGACATAGCCAGCAGCTTTGAGCCTTTCGTATAGCTGGTCAATTGGTTTAGCAATGGCGGCATATTGTTTGGGAGGTCTGCGGTCAAAATTTGGTCGAGTTCTAGGGAAGTTTTGACGTGAGGGAGGTGATTTATAGTGGGATGGTTGGGTGTTGTATGCTTGGTAAACATGTGCTGGCTGGGAGTATTTGGGTGAAGTGGGCTGATATGCGGGAGGTGGAGATGACTGATAAGTGGGTGGTGGAGTATGATAAGAGGGTGAGGATACTTGGTAATTTAGGGTAGGCTGATATGTGATTGGAGGTATTGGGTATGTTTGGTACCTGATAGGGGATTTGGTTCTCTGTGCAACCATTACAGCACCTACATCCCTTTTTTGGACATACCACCAGACTGTAAAGCCTTATTGGTAGCTTGCAAGGCTTCAAAGTTCGTAACCATACCACTCTTGATGCCTTCTTCGATCCTTTCTCCTAGCTTGATGATGTCAGAAAACTTGTGATTCTCGATCAGCATCAGCCTCTCATAATACTGTGGGTCTTGGGCCCGAACGAAGAATTTGTTCATTTGCTCTTCTTCCAAAGCAGGCCTAACCTTAGCAGCTTCTGACCTCCATCGAGTAGCATACTCACGGAAGGTCTCTATGGGTTTCTTCTTCAAGTATTGAATATAGAACACATCTGGCGCGTTCTCCGTATTGAACCTGAATCTGTCCATAAAATCAGATGCCATGCTTACCCAGCTTGACCACTTTTTCGGATCTTGGCTAATGTACCAAGATAAGACGTCTCCCTTCAAGCTCCTCATGAAAAGCTTCAT